ACATGTCAACATGTCCACCTATACAAAAATGTAACCAGTATCTAGACCGAGATTTTGAGCCAAAAATTGTGCTACCTTAAACTTCATTTAGTTAGAGTAGTCAATGTCACATATATAAGTTGTTATACCTTTCACTAATGTTCATTATTTGATGTTGAAACATTTAAAACAATAAATATCTGAAGTTTCTAAGTATATCTGTCTTAGAAACACGAAGATAATGAAAGAGCAAACTACCAAAGGTGGAGCTGCGAAAAAACTATTACCTTAACCACAGACCATTAGAATGCAAGAAACCAACATCAAAGTCATACAAGCTATAGAAAGTCTGGTTAATTGACTCACTATTCCATCATTCGGGCTTTCCAGCTAACTTGGGTACAACCCTCAAGGAGTAAATTTCAACTATGCATAAAAATGTCTAGAGGTGAATTGTTAAGAGATACAGGGTAAGTTTGATAATACAAAAAACAATGCACAAAGCAGTATTTAGCACATACATTCCTAATAAAGCATCTGAGCTATCAAAATATGAAGCATCAAGAATCTAAAGAGCATTCCACACCTATTTCCATAGAAATTGACAATCTAGAATCATAATAAATTTATTAAAATGTAGTAGTACAATAGAAATGTGTGTGTGATTCAGGATGTGACAATTGTAAATCACGTAACAAGCTTTGCAGCCATGTAAGTGCGCAACATGTCCCTATCATTGCTCTATATTCAGCTTTCGTTTAGGAAAGAGAGATAGTCATTTGCCTCTTCGTTCTCCATGTCATTAAAGAGTTCCCGAGGAACACACAATACCCAATAGCAAACCTTCGAATAATCGGGCAGCTAACCCAATTTGAGTCACAGAATGCACTCAACTTCAGGTTGTCCTCGATTGAAAGTAGAAGTCCTTGTCCATGTGCACATTTGAGATATTTGAGTACACTTAAAGTTGTCTGCATATATGGTTTACAAGGCTCGTGCATAAACCTACTTAGGACATGTACAACATACATAATATCATGCCTTGTGATAGTGAAATAGATTAAGTGACCTACCAATCGCCTATTAAGAGAGATCCTTGAGTATTTCTCCAGAGTCAAGCTTGGTTCCTTGCTCCAGAGACAGGACATGCACCTAATATGCCACCATCTTTGAGAATGTCAAGATTGTACTTCCTTCAAGAAATGCAAATACCCTTCTTTGAATGGGAAACCTCGATCCCACAAAAAAAAATAATAATAAATAAATAATAAATAAAAAAGAAAAAAGAAAAAGGAAAAACGTCAAATCTCTAAGATCCTTAATACAAAAACGAGTATGAAGAAATTTCTTAAAGGACCTTTTAACTTTTTCATCATTTCTGGTGATCAATATATCATTAACGTAGATCAATAAAACTGTGAAATGTGTACCTTGCTTTCACGTGACTAATGAGTAATTGACCTTTGATTGAATAAAGCCAGCAGCTTTAACAGCTTCTATAAATTTTGCAAACCATTGACACTTTGGATATGTGAAAACCACGCCAGGGGAAGATCACTTGCACAAAAGGTGTGAACGGCTGGATACTATTGGCTTACCATGAGATAAAACACTTTGGATTGCACCTAGACTTGTGAGAAATGCCAAAGGTACGCACCCATGAACCATGAACACGCATATGAACTTAGCACTTTAATTGGGGCATGGCCTTTCATGCAATTGGTCATTGATCTTGTCATTCCATTAAAGAAAGCTCAAGGAACAAAGAGTATATAATAGTGGTAACATACTATTTCTCCAAAAAGATAGGCATAATGTATGTCTAGAATCACAAGGCGGCGATCAAGTTCTTCATTTAAAAGAACATCATCTGTCATTTCAAAATTTCCCACACCATACTCATAATCTAGAATCAGCCAAGTGGTGGCTTTGAACTTTGACCCTGAGTACGATTACTTCTATCTTGGACCAGCGTGCTAAGTCAAGTTTGCTCTGCGACACCATGTGTCTAAGCAGGTCCAAAGAAGACATCCTGACTAGGAAATCCTCAAGAGGAGTTTTATTCCAAAAGAACTTTTGATATCCAAAAAAATGCCTTAACCAAGTCATCTAAATGTAGTCTGATTGGAAACGCTCAGGTCCGATGCATAAGGTCTAGCAAAAGGATTCCAAAGGTGTTTACAACTCATTTGCAGGCGACCAATTCTTTAATAAACTTTCATCTAAGATTCACTAAGGACGAACACACAATTCAGAATAAGAAGGAAACCCCTTCTTGGTGACAGTGCGATAATAAAAATCCTCATTCCTGGGGCAAGATGAACAAACAAATAAACAACATTTTAATTGAAGAGAAAATGACATATCCATTGAAATGCCGGAGGCCATTCCGAATAAATTTCTTCACTTCCTAATCCTTAAGTCGACAAATGCACTATGGCAAGTTCAGAGTAAAAGATTTCTTATAGGCTTAGTACTCGGTGTCAGAGTAAGGTGATATTTCGATTATTGCAGTGAAAATCTTTACAAGCACCAAGTTTGAGAGGTGATGTTTCTCCGAATCAATGTTACCTGGGGGCTTTGCCCCGGCCCTACAAGCTTGCTCGTATTTCACTCTGTTATTCATTACTCTGAAGTTAGATTACTTTGAAAAAATTAGTTGAATTAAAGTTTCATTTTGCCATTAAGAAGTAAAGGATTAAAAGTTTCAAGTGCTTTATTCTAACAAGATCAATGATTTGAATAAAGTGGAATTTAATACAAAGGTGTAAACACATGTTTATTATCAAAGTCCCATGAATAAGGCAAAAAGAGTAGAATTCTTAGGGAGAGACAATGCCTTTACCCCTGGCACGAAAATTTTCCCAAGGGTGCTACTTTCTACCAAGCAATGGTGCTTGTTATCCAGCTCGTTCGAACTTAGAGAACACCAAGAGGGATCTAATAAAGAAGGACCTTCTCAAGAATTTCAACACTATGCTCAAGTTGAACCCATATGAGAAAATTGTGAGGAGTATATCGTTTTTGGTTATGGAGCAAAGTGTGGAGGCCTTAAGGGAAGAAGAGTTTATTATTGAAATGTTACGGTTCATCCTTATTTCACTTAATCTTTTTTGATAAAGGTAAACAAGGATGTGGCAAGTTCCTTGGCTACGTATCCTAATCATTGAAGGCTCAAAGTGGAGATTGGGTTTGAAAATTGAGGGACAGAAGAAACAAAGGGGATCCATGTTGAAACTCAAAAGAAGGGACTTGGAAAAATAAAGTCAAGTCTGAGGTATTTAAAGAAGAGCTACTGAGTAATCTCATCGTCAAATTTAGAAAGCCTCGCTTATAGATTTGCGTGTACGGAAGTTGAAGCTACTCAGAGATGCAAAGAGCCATTTCTTGTTATTTCGTGCACAAGCAACATGACGTCCCTCATCATTACTGTCTATGCACCACAGTTCTCGAGGTTGCACGTCTGAATTTGGAATGTCAAAAGTGACGCAGGTTACAAAATCGAGATGCCATGTGTTAGAAAAGTTTGAAACGGAACATATTCCAATTTACTCCGAAAGACATGATCCTTGGATAACTATCAATTCTCAAGAAAACAAGTCATTTTCAGATACATAGTTATGGACAATTGTGAGACCATAAGTTTTCAGGGCTAGAATAAGGCAGATCAAAATACGAATGCTTCGAACATCTGGTCATGAACTCAACAACTTCTCCAGCAGAGATGCTCAGACGGAGCATCGACGCCACCATCATTTTGTTTCAAAGCATTCGGCAAAGTCCGACGACTTCACTGAGATTGACCATGTTTGTTCCACAAGACACAGGAACCTAATCCAAAAAGGAATCAACAGGTTTCCTATATTCTTGGAGTCCTTACAACCTAAGAATTGGTATGCTCCGCAAGTAATCATGCTCCTAAGAGGAAGTCATATCTACTTCCCAGATATCATCTCGGATTCTTTCGGTTTAATATGGATTTCATATCCGAAAAGGTTTCTATCTCAACTAGTATAAATACACCCTTCTAAGGTTGATCTTTGGTAACAAAATTATTGCTCACTTATCCACTTGTCTACAGCTTGAGTCACATAATATTGCTTACTAACTTGACTATTAGAGAGTCTTTGGCTGGCGCATACTACCAGTTATTTGTTCTTTTACAGGTAAACAGATTTATACATCTTTCACCATATATGGCGGTGCATGAATTTGATTTCAACAGTCACGAAATGGGAAGCACCGGAGAAAGAAAAATCTAACATATCCAAAATTGGAGCAGCTTGCGACGACTCTAAAACTTGCCTATACAACCTCCATTGCATCCCAATATTGAAGATGCTTAAAGAGTACTATTTTCTTTAGAACTATTTTCGTGACGATTCAGATGGATACACTTAAGAACACAATGTTGTCAGACTCTACAAACCATGAAAATCTTATGCCACGGGAAAAATTCAATGAAATCCTAGACAAATATAATAATAATGATCAATATATAAATGATTATGTTGCGATAACAAAGTACAATTAAGACAATGACTGCTTCAAGTTTTTGTCCTCATATGTGCAACACAAATGGCTCACACTTTCACTAGAACTGCCTCAACTTTAGGTTCCTACGGATTAGTGCGAATGGATTGCTTATTTGATGCAAAATAAGATTTTTTTTTTTTTTTTTTAAGAGCACTTCTTAAGAAGGTAGTAATTGGGTAGTAAAATTAGATTTGCTATGACACGTAAGAACAATGCATTTGAAACGGAGGTAGCGTTCCAATTAATAAATTAAAGAATTAACAACTAGCCTTGCATATTTCCAATGTCAATTGCTATTTTTGAAGTTGGCAAATTGACCTGCAATATATTTTAATAAGAAAATATTGTTTATAAAGAGTTGGAAACTAAAATATGGGCTCTAGAATATTTTAAGCTGAAAAAGAATTGAAGAGTTAATTGAAGTGTGGGTCGAAGAGACAAAACTGTAAAACAGTATAAAAGTGTCAATGCGTTAGCAAATTATACATTTAAAAGAAATTTTTGCTATATATTCAGATCAAAGAGAAAAACAAGTGCTTGTATATACAATTGGAGCAAAAACAAAAGAAACTGGCAAGATCCCCGTATCACAAAAAGTGCACGTGTCATTTCGTTAACCGTGATTGTCTGGAATATCTATCCCTCTGCTCGTGTGTCTAGTCTAATGTCTCCCAGTGTTTCACACCTCCATCCCTTCTACCAATATAAAATAGAAAACGAAAATTACAATTTCACACCATTGGTGAACAAAAATAAAAAATATTTTGGAAGGTAGTGAACTGGCTTCCCTTCAGTTCTCTTTGGCGCCTTCTGAGTAACTCTATAAAAAATAAACGAATAAACAACTAAATTTAAAACAAAAAAATAACCTGAAAAAAGCTAGCAAATGGGCGGTGGAGCAGTGGGGGTGGGAATAGTAGTACGCTCCGTCCGTATCGCCGGTCGCGAGAGAGAAGAAACCCAGGCCAGCCACCTGGCCACAAGCTTGAGCTGTCGTTGTTGTTGTTGTTCCTGTTGGCTCTCATTGCCCCCGGTGGCTCTGTTCGAAAACCTGCTCAGGCCCGTGATTTCCAACACGCTTCTCGAATTTATTACGCTCCCGCCGCCGCCGCTGCCGCCGCCACCACCACAGCTCCATGATCTCCTGTTCCCATCAATCCCTCCGGGCCCTCCTCCTGCCGCGGGCCCCGCAATCACCTGCTGCCCATTACTCTTCTCATTCTGCTGCGCCCGCTGACGTGTCATGCCCTCGCTCATGATCATTTCTGACCGTAGATACAGAAGATCCGACGGCAGTACGTCGCTCCATCTCTGCTGGAGCCCACCGGGATCAGACCCCGACCCGGTGGGAGACACGATGATCTGGTGCTCCAACCTCGTCCTGTCTTGACCCAACAGGAGTCCATCTTTTCTGGGTCGGTCGAAGCATCCGACGGTGGCCGGCTCGCTCTTCATTCGGATTGCCGTCCAGCTGTCCAGCGACCTCCGAAACGACCACGTTTGGGTTTGATGATGTCCCGGTCTGTGTTCTCCGGCGAACGAGTGCCGCCCCGAAATCCGACGAAAAACCGGGTCGTTCTCGATCTCCAAAACGACATCGCTATTCTTCGGATGCAACAGCTTTGCGGCGTCGTCGACTAAGAGGACGTCTTCGGGGTCGATCCGGTACCGGCAGAGCGGGCAGGTGGAGTGGGCGTCGAGCCACGTATCGACGCACTCGACGTGGAACGCGTGTTTGCATTTTGGCAGGAGACGGAGGACCTCGGTTTGGTCGAACCGGGTCAGGCAGACCGCGCACTCGAGCCCGTCCTTGTGGCCGCGAAGGGACCTGAAGCGGAACACTGGTAGGGACTCGACGATGGAGCGGTCAATGCCGGAGTTTTTACGTGGGGCGGGTCCGGTGGGTCCGGAATTGGAGTTTGAGCCGACGATAACTAGACCACCGCGCTTGCAGTGCTTGGCGTAGAGGAGAATAAGGAAGACGACGGAGAAGACGGTGGTGAGAACGGCGACGATTATGGCTATGCTCGGCCGGAGAGAGGAGGACCTGGTGGGGCCCGCGTTGTTGGGTTGAAGAGGATGGGGCGGTGAGGGAGATGGGTTGATAGAGCTGGCAATGTCGCCGAAGCCGGGGGTGGAGAGATGGGAATCTGCTGCTGCTGCGTGTGGGTGCGCGCGAGTGGGTTTGGTGATAAAAGAGAGGAGGAGGGTGGGGAGGAGGAGGAGGAAGAAGGTGGCGGGGGTGGTGGGCTTGAAAAAAAGAAAGAGGAGGCCCATTTTTCTGTTTTTTTTTTTTTTTTTTTTTGTGTGTGTGTGTGTGTATGAGGCGGGAGTGGTAGCAGGAGGCGGAGGGAGGGAAGAATCTTGGCGGCGTGAGGGCGAGAGAGTTTGTAGTTTTGTAGGCGCAAAAGGAGGAGGGGCGTCTTTCTTGAGATTCTTGCCCAAACATACAACCAAAATTAAACCTGACAATTGCATATGTTGGTATCTATGGGCTCGTTTAGATGTGCTTTCAAAATAACTGAAATCACTTTTAGAGAAAATGTTTTTGGGTTCCAAAAACACTTAAAGTGATTTCTATAAGAAGCACCAGTTATGTGCTTCTTCCAGGAAGCACTTTAAGTGTTTTTCCAGGATTTGCTTACATTTTTACTAAGGATTGGTTCCAAAAACATTTTTACTAAAAGCGCTTTCAATTATTTTGAAAGCACATCTAAACGGGTTCTATATCTCTATCATTTCTAACTAAAACTATATCATCATTAATGCATTTATTTCATCTTCCTCTCTTTGGATAATGCTAGGGATATTATTAGAGTAAATTATACAAAACTACCTCAACTATTGGTCTGACGATACTTTCATACCTCATCTTTTAAAAATGACAATGTCATACCTCATCTTACGAATTTGTGCCAATGTCAGACCTCCGTCAGTTTTTCTGTTACTTTTTTTGTCAAATGTTAACGTGACTAGAGACAAAACCCACTCACTAATCCAACTGGATTAAAAAATAATTAAATATTCAAAAATTAAAAAAAATTAAAAAACTAAAAAAAAAACAAAAAATGGCCTACGGGATCCGGCCTTCCCTTACACCCGCACCAACCATTTTTCTTCTTCTCTTTGACAACCACCAAACCCTTCCCTGTCCCCCCAACCTTCCTCCACCACCCTCTCTCTCTCTTCTCTCTCTCCTTTCTCTGGGATGCGGTCTCCCTCCTCCATCCCTCTCCCTACTTGCACTTGTCCTTCCCTCACCACCACCTCCCAACCCGACCCATCCCTCCCTTAGTCCCTCCATACCCAACATTCCTTCACCACCCCATTGCCGCCTCTCTTCCTCCATCTTCACCACCCTACTGAAGAAACCAAAAAAATCAAGCCCACACCTAGATCCCACACCAAAATAATAAAAAAAACAAAAAAAACAAAAAAACTAAACTCACACCCAGATTTCCTTCCCCTCCTACACACCCATCACCCTCCTTTTCTCCACCCAGCCCATCCTCCAACCTCTCTCCTCTGTCTGATTCGTCGTCGACCCCACACCTCCTCTGACCTCTATCCTTCGTTCGACCTCTCTATTTCCTCCTCCTCTTAGCCGTCAAAACCCTTATCTCCTTCCCACCTCCGCTCTCTTCGCCTTCAGACCCTCCTTCTCCTCCCTCTCTTCGTTGCTCTCTTCCTCGACGCTAGTGGTTGCAGAGAGAATAAGGAGTTAGAGTGGGAGAGAGATGCGGGAGAAGATAAAGAGAAGAAAGAGAAAAGGGTTGGTCTGCGGCGGTGGTTGTAAAGAGAAGAGGGAGTTAGAGTGGGAGAGAGATGCATGAGAAGATAAAGAGAGAGAGAGAGAGAGAGAGAGAAGGGTTGGTGCGAGTGGAAGAAAGGAAGGCCCGTATCCCTACGCATTTTTTATTTGTTTAGTTTTTTAATTTTAAATTTTTGAATATTTAATTATTAAAAATATATTTTATTTTTTTTAATCCAGTTGGATTAGTGAGTGGGTCATGTCTCTGGCCACGTCAGCATTTAACAAAAAAAGTAACAGAAAAACTGACGGAGGTCTGACATTGGCACAAAATCTTAAGATGAGGTATGACATTGTCCTTTTTTTTTCAAAAAAAATGAGGTATGAAAGTGTTGTCAGACTAATAGTTAAGGTAGTTTTTGGTCATTTACCCTAAATTTTGAGTAATGCTAGAGAGACTCAATTTGTAGACTAAATTTTGTAAACTAAATGGCATAGAAGTTGATGATTGGATTATTACTTAATCGTTGATAAACGTGCTCATTTTTTATTGTTAACACCTCATTTGATTTGCTAATTTAGTCTACAAATGTAGTCTCCTTAGCATTACTCTTGAAATTTCAAGAGTAATGCTAGAGTGATTAGATTTGTAAACTAAATTTTGTAAAATAAATAACATGGAAGTTAATGATTAGATTATTAATTAAACTTCGATAAACGTGCTCATTCCCTATTGGTGACACATCATTTTTTTTTTTTTGAACAATCTACACCAAAGGGAAGAGATGAACTTTGTCTGACAATGAACTAACAATAATGGGGTTCAAATTCTTCTTTGACAAGAATCTAACCTAAGAACTATCACTTATAAGTAAAGAGGAATACCACTAGACCGTAGTACTACAAATTTTGTTTGCAAACTCTACAAATTTAATTCCTATAGCATTACTCAATTTTTAAATTAAATTTGTAAACTAAATAATGTGTCACCAATAAAAAATATAAGTACGGTAGTCGACCTTAGTTAATAATCCAATAATTTATAATCACATCATTTGGTTTAAAAAAAAATTGATCTCTCGAATATTACCCTTTCTTTTTACAAAATTGTGATATTAGGAGACGAATTAGAACGAGGATGATAAATTCTCTTCATCATTGCAACTACAAATATTTTAAAGGGGCTTTTAAAGATGAGGACTTGTCAAAGACTTTTTTTTTTAAAATACAACCTGAAAGGCTTTCAATATCTAAAAAAAATCCTTCATTTTAATGCATCATGACACATCACTTATAATACAACCACAAATTTTACCACTATTTACAAGAATGCCATTTTTATTGTCTACAGTCTAACATCCACCATCAAAGTTTGAAAATATAACGGTATATTCATTATCAGCAATAAAAGTAACTTCCATCTTTATTGTCTAAAAAATGCCATCTTTACGTCTATAACTACCTACCTCTTGTTGTTGTTGTTGTTGTTGTTTTATTTATTTTTTTTATATTTAAATATTTATTCAAATTTGATATCATGTGGAGGATGCACTAATTTAGGTCCAATAGTTTCGGTATAGTCAATTAGATATGTAATATAGTTTAGGTCGGATAGATTCTGTATAATCAATTTGGTACGATTTGTATTTTTTATGTTTTAGTTCACTAAGTCCGATAAATTAGGTCCAATACATTATGTCCGATAAATTAGATACATTATATAATTTAGGTCTAATAGATTCAGCACGATCAATTTGGTATGGTTTGTATTTTTTTTATGTTTTAGTCCATTAGATCAAACTCGGTATCATAAATTTTTTATGTTTTAGTCCATAAGGTCCAATCAATTTGCTACGGTTTGCATTTTTTATGTTTTACATTATTCATTCATTAGGCCTTATACATTAGTTATGATTTACAAAATGCTTTTCAAATTTTTTGTGTTTGATCCCTTAAAAGGAGAATACATGCAAACTAAAAATACAATAAATTCATGAAAAAGTAATTAAATTTGACATGAAATATATAATTTGACATGTAATGTATAACTTGACATGGACACGAGTTAAAGGACTATTTTTAGTTTTTCATCTTACATACGGTATTATTAAAAACATGATTTTTTTAGCGATTAATGTGATATCCCACACCGCGCAGGGAAGTGATCCTTAAATATATATTCCTATCCCTACCTAGCACGAGGCCTTTTGGGAGCTCACTGGCTTCGGGTTCCGTAGGAACTCCGAAGTTAAGCGAGAAGGGCGCTAGAGCAATCTCATGATGGGTGACCCACTGGGAAGTTGCTCGTGAGTTCCCAAAAACAAAACCGTGAGGGAATGGTAAGCCTAAAGCGGACAATATCATGCTACGGTGGTGGAGCGGGCCTGGGAAGTGGTCCCGCCCGGGTCGGGATGTGACAATTGGTATCAGAGCCTAACCCTGGCCGTGGTGTGCCGACGAGGACGTCGGGCCCCTAAGGGGGGTGGATTGTGACATCCCATATCACCCAGGGGAGTGATCCTTATATGTATATTCCCATTCTACCTAGCACGAGGCCTTTTGGGAGCTCACTGGCTTCGGGTTCCATGGGAACTCCGAAGTTAAGCGAGTAGCTCACGAGAGCAATCCCATGATGGGTGACCCACTGGGAAGTTGCTCGTGAGTTCCCAAAAACAAAACCGTGAGGGAATGGTAAGCCCAAAGCGGACAATATCGTGCTACGGTGGTGGAGTGGGCCCGGGAAGTGGTCCCGTCCGGGCCGGGATGTGACAATTAAAATGAAGGTTTTTATATTTTAAATTATAGTAAAATTTTGTTCATTTTATGGTGTAATAAATGTACAGATGATGCTTTACCACAATATAGGAAAATAATTATACCTATGCAATTTGGTACGAGTTCGATCCCACCAATTCTCCTCTTTCCTAACAATCAACCATCTAACCCACTAACGCTATTATTTTACCTAAAACAAATGATGTGACATGTTTTTCTTTTGGGTCTAAATCATGTGATGATGTTTGTTTAGGTAAGTTTGCAACAAATTTGGATTCATTTATTTCTAACAAATAAGATGTGCTCACCATGAATCATGATAAGTATAGAGTACACCGAATTTATCCAATTTATGATTTTTGTTTCGTTTTCTCTTTAATTTTTTAATATGAATCTACGAAATTTGAATTCAATCATCTTCAAACGAAGCAAAGATAAGAATGTTACTACTACTAGACGAAATAGTCTTAGAAGCATTATTGAATCTTGATTTCAACCAGCTAGGGTTTAGGAAGATTTGCATTATTATAGCCATCGTTGCATTATTGTTCCTTAATTGGTTAGACAAAGACCTTACAGAAAAGAAAAAAAAAGAAAGAAGAACAAGGACAAGAACGGAACAACATCAGCACTGAGCCAATAAGAATGGCTGGTTTTGATGTGGAAGATAGGATGTACTGTAGGCGAAGGAAATTCATCCCCGCGTGCGTCCAATGAAGTATATACTTAAACGAATCCAATCAATCACAATGATACCAGAGAGGAGATGGAACAAGTTTACAATTAGCTAGTGTTCATGTTTAATAATATGTTGTCACGTATAAATTTGTATTCACGTGACAATGCATTATTAGACTGAAATGTTATAATAATAGCGAATAAGAAAAAGAAAACACTATAAAACCACACCATGGTGTAACAGAACGCGTGATAGATGCTTGGGATTGAACTCAACAACGAACAGCGCACAAGGTTGGTGCCCCGCTGTTCCTGCGCCCTTCTGGTTGATGATGGAATGTATTGGACTGGACTGCCAGGACTGGTCTAATTGTTCGTGTCCCGTGCGTTATTTCATGTTTGCTGCCAGGACTGGACCAGCATAAGAAATTTTGTGAACTTTTGGTTACATATGAATCCAATTTCCAAACCAGCAATTTACCTTTATTCCGTAGAGGGCATGGGATTGGGATTGTGCCTTTTGAAACGGTGGTTTGCTTAAAAACTTTTTATCTGAGCGCATCCACTACACAAGTAGTACAACCTGCAGACATCTCCTTTCAAGATCCACCCTGCTTAAGTTAAAATACAACTTTATACCTTACAAATAACAATATCAATATTCTTGTAAAATATAAGATAAAAGAGGACAATCGGAGGCAATTTTATAAAAAAGTGCATTACATGTGATGGAACCTAATTTTTTACGATTTTAGTGGTAATTAGGGTGGTGCCCGAACAATGTTATGGATTTTATGTAGAAACTTTTAAGATATATACATGTAGAAATCTGTACACATATACAAAGTTCTAAAAGATGATAGGCGCTCAACTTAATACTACAGTCTAGTGATATTTTTCTTCAGTTGTAACTGAGAAGTCTTAGGTTCAATTCTTGCTAAATGTGAGTTTAAACCACATTATTGGTAAACTACACGGTTAGGCGGAGACTAGGCCCTAGCACCTAGACGATTAGGCGGTCTAGGCATATTTAAGTAAACTCATTATATATTGTACAAATAAGTGTCTATTTATACTTAAAAAAATATAATTGTATCAGGATATATAAATTAATAAATAAAATGATGTATAGATTATTCTATTTTGTTTTTAAGAACATTTAAACCTAAAAGTATTTAAATTCTGATAAGTAATGAAAAACTAGTAAACAACCTCATTCATACACATATGAGTATACAGGTTCTAATTTTAATAACATGTTTATTGATACAAATTAGTATGAAATAAAAAGTTATAGCTTGTTTGGAAGTGCTTTTAAAATGACTAAAAGCATTTTTAGTGAAAATATTTTTGGGTTTCGAAAGCATTTTAAGTGTTTTTCCAATATTCATTGCATTTTAACTAAAGATTGGTTCCAAAAGCTTTTCATCAAAAACAGTTTTAGCTATTTTAAAAGTACTTCCAAACGAGTGACTCCAACTCATGCCCTTTTTATTAACATATATGAATCAAACTATATGTGAGTCTCACCTTAAATTCAGTAATATATTGCCTTCAAGATCAAGAATCTAATAAACTAAAAATGGATAATCCGGTTCCCACTCCTTACTGCCCATATTCCTAACTTACGCAATTCGCCCATTCATCTATTCCTCAAATTTAAATAAGTAAACACGTTAATCCGTAGTTAAATACATACAAAACTAGGAATTAGATTAATTAGGATGCTAATTGGTCTCATACCTATTTAATTCCCTTACTTATTGATGACTTATCTGATTTTGTGAATTCTCTCATTCCACGTAAGTATAGGCTCATTTGAAAATACTTTTAAAATGGTTGAAAACGTTTTTAACGCAAAAATATTTTTTGAAATCAAATCTTAATAAAAAAACACGAAGAAAAAAAAAAAAACAAAACAAAACCTAAGCAAAAAATAAAAATAAAAATTTCCCGAATGATAAATAGCAGCCCAATCTCAAGCAACAAGCCCATTCGTATTGACCCAACTGTAAAGCCTTTTGTTACCCTTTCTCTTCTTTTGTCATTTAAATTTGTTTATTTAAATTATTTATGAAAAAACATAGAAAAAGAGATAATAAAGAAGAAGAAGGAAGGCCTTAACCCTCGGGCCTCGACGTCGCGATTCAGAAAGAAGGTGAGAAAGAGGCGAAGAGGATTCGAAGCTGCTCAGCTGATCGTGAATTCGGCGGAAATTCCCCCATATTGATTCAAGTAATTGGCTTTCCTCTAGGTTGTTCTTTGTGACCCTAACCCTAATTTCCCTAACCCTAACCCTAGTCTCCGAATCCGCTGGCAGGGCAAATTATGAGTCTTTTATTTTGTTTGTCGTTAATGTCGATAATGTTACGCTTATTTGAAACGCTGGTGTCGATAATTAAAGGTTTGAATTTTGCAGAAGCGTAGGCGTGGATGGAGGTACAGACATGCGGGAAACCAATTGACTCATTGCTCGAGAAGGTGCTTTGTATGAACATTCTATCTTCCGACTACTTCAAGGAGCTTTACCGGTTAAAGACGTACCACGAAGTCATTGATGAAATTTACAACCAAGTAGACCATGTCGAGCCGTGGATGACCGGGAATTGCCGCGGTCCGTCCACTGCCTTTTGTCTGCTGTACAAGTTCTTCACCATGAAGCTCACCGTTAAGCAAATGCACGGTCTTTTAAAGCACGAGGATTCACCTTACATAAGAGCGGTATGTAGGTTAATCTGACATTATATACTCAATTTTATGTGTTGTTTTGAATTTGGAGATGACCATGTTTCTCATTAATATGTTATGTGCTATATTTTTTCTTAATGGATAATCAGCTTACTTTTATTTGATTTTCAGGTGGGGTTCCTCTACTTGAGATATGCTGGAGACCCAAAGACTTTGTGGAATTGGGTTGAACCCTATATTAAAGATGATGAGGTAAATGATAGATTATGTATTTTGGTTTTCAAGTTTCTTACTTTTTTTTATCATAGCTACGGAACTACTTTGAGACATAATCAAATGTTCCTGGCATGGACTTCTTTTATGTTATCGAATCATGTCGTCTACACAAGACTCTGGTGAAAGTAATGAAAAGGGGCATGTGGTGTGTCGTATATCCTGGAATGTTGCCACAAAGTAAAAATATTAGCTAATGGCTAATTTGAAGCGTGAACAAAATTTTGTTTCACTTTGTAAATGGTTTCAGAGTTCATTTCAAGATTATACTTTTTGGCTTGGTGGGTATAATTTTGTAGTAGTCAAGGCTTGTACATGGGGAAAGATGTTTCTCTCGGGGAAAAACAGAGGATTTCCTAACAAAAGGAAAACTCTGGTATTTGACTAAGATGTTTCTGTCATTAGATTGGAAATAGTGTTCAATATAGAAGGTATATATGTTAATATAAAATATTAGGAGATGTTATATTTAACGCTTCATTTCTGTGAACCAACGAAAATATAAGTCATCTACAAGTTTGGGTTCTCTTCCTTTTGGAACCTATGTTTACAGTTTACCGACTCTGAGTTTTGAATGATTCTTTGGTGCTTCTGCATGAATAGGGTTCTCAACATCCTTGCAAGTTTGTACAACAAAAAAATGGTTTATGAATTTTAAAGATTCTGGTCAAAGTCCTATGGTTCTTATAAGAGCTGTCCTTTGGTTCTTAAAATTCAAAAGCTGAAAATCACATTATTATTTTTTTTCTTCCAATTTTGATGGATTGGAAACTCTTACATTGTTGGCTGTTATATACCAATGGTTGTTCTCTTCACAAAACGTACTAACCATTTACTTGTGTCTCAATTTTCTTGGCATGAATTTGTGGTAGTGGTGGAGTTGCTATTACATGGAGTAGGTTCCTTTATCGGATGCTTTGTGTGTAAGTGTTAAATACGTTTCACTTGCAAATTTGAGACACAGGCGCTTCTTCAACTTAGTGAAGTAGTTCAATTTGCTTTCGTTATGCCTTTGGCTGAAATGAAGTGATGTTAACCTACGTAGAAAATGTTACTAATTTAGATCCATGTAGTAAAGTTGTATGTGCTTGTGAAGTTCTTTTGAACTATCTTGGCTTATCTTGTTCTTGGCCCGTGTTTTCTTAAGGTCTAGCTATTTATTGGCATAGATGATCACACATATAGAGGGCATTGGACGTAAATTGCTTTTGACACCAACTATTAGAATATAATATTAATCGTGTTCTGACACCTGTCTGTCAGTATTTTCATAAATTACAATATTACCATTGGATTTTCATCCAATGGGTAATAAAAAAAAAGTTTAGAACAGTCATTTAACCATCTTGGTTGAAAGGGTCTTATAAACATTCTAAGTAGTGTTCTAAAAAGCGGTCTAGGCGGTGGGCGGCGGTGCTCCGCCGTGATTAACCCGAAATCGTTCATTAAATCGGCAAGGACATTATGCGGTGTAAGGCGGCCGCCTGGGCGGGCTTGGCGGATGTTGGGCGGTCTGGGCACGGCCTGGGAAAAACTTATGTCGCGAGACTCACAACCTTCTTGTCTCCCCGAGTCTTGCCGTCTGCCTCTTTGTTTGCTAGAAGAGGAGTCGAATATGGGGAGAGGGAGGGAGGGAGGGAGGGAGGGAGATTTTTGCAATTGTAGGGATGGGTGATGGCGATGGGTTGTAGAAGGTAAGTCTGCAATTGCAGAGATGGGTGGGGCAGCAGGTTGTAGAAGATGAGTTTGTAATTGCAGAGAGGTGCGACTGCTTTAGTTAGGGTTTTAAGCAATTAGTAACTTTTTCTTTAGCTAGCATTTGTTAGGTTTATTTAAACAACTGAGTCGGTGAAAGATTAATTAAAAAAAAGAATGCAGGGCCAACCTTTTATTTTATTGAGAGGCCCAACAATATGGGATCACAAAATGATACAACTTTGGAACTTTACATATACACTCATATTTAACATATATAGCTATATATATTCTTTATTTTTTTTTAAAATAACATAGTATCAATGTTTATTTATATATTATGTAGTAAATTTAATTAATTTATATGATGTATTACTTAAATCTGCCTAGTCCGCCTAGGCCCCACCTAGCCACCTAGGCGCTAGGCCCTAGCCCACAGCCCGACTAGCCCCAAGCGTTTTTTAGAACCTTGATTCCAAGTGGTAAGTGTCTAAACCCTACTATTAGGAGATAACTTTTATTATAGTTTCTTTTCCAAATTTTTTGACTTGGCTTTGTCTTGATTTATACATTGACATGTAAGGATACTTCTGGACATAATAAATTACACTGCCAAAGAGGGGTGTCACTGTTAAAGAGTTGGTCTAAATGGTTCTCTTTAACATTGAAAATTAGTTCACCAGAGGATCTGCAGTTTAGTGCCATGGCATTTCAGGAAGAGAGGAGCAGCAATTTTGTACTGCCTGGAAGTGGGGTGGCAGTATTTAAAAGTTGATTGAGATTTTCTCCTCAACATTGATAGAAGATAACAATTAATGGTCAGAGTTGCCCATAGGATCCACGGTTGAGTGCATCATGGATTGGATATCTTGAATACTTTTTATTGTTCTCTTATGTTATTTTTTGTCACAAAGTCATTTGTATAACTCTTTGTATCCTGTGAATACCATCTGTTTCCACCTAATCTCATCTGTGTATGGTTCTGATATATTTCCCACTGATGCAACTTCTATGACAATTGTCACTTGTTTTTATTTTGTATTGTTATGTTAGCATATTGATTTTGTACTCCCTTAGTTATTCATTTATGTGTTGGCTTTGGTTTCAGGAATTCTCTCCTGGTTCCAATGGACGGATGACAACTATGGGTGTATATGTGCGCGATTTGCTGCTTGGGCAGGTTAGTTTCGTTGAAGAATGCACTATATTTGAATTTTTTTTTGGTGAAAACAATTATGTTCTCTATCTCTCTTCTCCCTCCCGTCCCTCACTCTGTGGGGATCTGCCAGTTGTACTAGTCACAACAAAGACACAGCCTAATTATTTATTCTGTATGCATTTGCTGTACCATATCTAGAATGCTGATGTACCTAATTCTACTGCATACATGTCTAGCATTTAACCAGCCAAAAATACAATAATTTATTAATTTAGTCTGCCAACTGGGAGCTCTTTGTTCTCCAAGATATGCCTATTATCTCCCTCCAAAATCATGTTTCGATCAATTTTATCTGATTATTAGTTGGATAAGTTTATGCACTTTTTAACTGGAGAGGATATCTATAACAAAATACACTAATGAGAGTGATCCTTTTTTTTTTTTTCTAATGAAAGAAAAAAGTCATGACTGGTGTAATTTGAGATTCGTGTACACCATATAGCAGAAATGTTGAACAAGTACCCTAAATATGAAGCTAGCTTCGCATTTAAACCAAGAATCAAGCTACAGTTTCTTTTGTTATCAAGTGGTGGTACAGTTATTTACTTGTGTGGCATGAGAGGGCTCTATGCACCAGCTTTTCGTTTCAAGAGTTCATCTGCTGAGATGCCACACCTAGTACTAAAGTGGGTAGGAGAAAGTTCACCAGCTAAAGTTGTTTGGAGTTATTGTCTCTAGTAGACAATAGTGGTTGACTAGAAAAAAGAAATGTACTTTCAATGTGTTTTTAGTACACTTACACATATCAGACTAGAAAGTATTGGGTAAAATACTTAGTGATACTTCTAGGACAGTAATTTAAATTCTTCTGTCTAATGCTCCGCCGATGCAGTCCTTTACAGTCACAGCTGCTGGTTTTCCAGATCACAGTGCGATTAAGGTCTGAATACATGTTCTTCTCGGAGTCTTGAAGCATGGTCTCAGAGTGCTACTGTATAAGGTCTAAATTTAACATGTGAAAACTATACCATTTCTTCTGAATTTGAATTGCACCATGCTGAAACTGTCCAAGAGAGTTATGAATTGTTTGTTAGTTGGTGTTCAAAGCCGAAGTTAGATGATGATATATTTTCTTTGCGATTTACAATATATGTAAGTTTATATACATTGGTAGTTTCTGTAACTGATCATAGTTAATTTTTCACATTTTCTGCATAGTTTCTGATGCAGCTTATTTTGGACAACAATTGCTCTTAACATGCAGCACTATAAATACTATTTTGCTGTCCACATAACACTTTTCATTGCTATAGTTGCTGAAGTGATTAAACTTTGTTGTGCTATTGCAGTACTATTTTGATACCCTTTTCCCCCGCATCCCTGTTCCTGTTATGCGGCAGATTGTTGCTAATCTTGAGAAGATGAAACTCCCCACCAAACTATCTGGTATTACTGGAGAGGCTACCCGCCATGGATCTGATGACACAGCTCGTCGCCCACCTTCTGTGAAAGCTGCTCTTTCAGTTTCCTTTGGTCAACGTGCTCCACATCGCGCTTCAACAAGGGACTCCTCACCTGTTCGTCGTACCTTACCGCCACCACCTTTTGACAAACCCAGTAGTGATGATCAAACGACCCGTCGCAGTCAGAGCCGTGAATATCCTGACAGAGAATATTCAGACAGGGACAGGGGAAGGGACCGGGATCGCAATCGGGATAGGGACAGTGATCGGGATCGAGAAAGATACAAGGAACGAGAGCGGGACCGAGACAGAGCAAGGGATAGAGTTAGGGATAAGGAAAGAGAGCGAGAGAGAGATAGAGAACGAAGTTCTGATTATGATCGGAGGTCCAAATATGGAGAGAGAGAAAGCCGAAGGGATCCATATGAGAGTAGCCGCGATGGCGGTAGGCATTCCCGTAGGAGTAGGAGTCGGAGTCGGAGTCGCAGTAGAAGCAGGAGTGGAAGTCGGAGTTTGCAAGCGGGCAGCACACTTCATTCGAGCCCACAGAGAGATGTAACCAAGGATAGAACATCTGCATCTAGCAACCTGGCAAAACTTAGGGATCTTTATGGGGATGTAAGTGACCAAAAAGGTGATACCAGTATGGACAGGATTCCCAGGGGAGATGGTGGTGGTGAAGAGGTGATTAGACTTGGCGGTTCTCGTTGGAAGTAGCACGGGGAGAATCTTCTCTTGTACCTGTTATCAGATGTGTCATTTGAGTCTTGTGGGCCGGATACTGTTTTTGATGATCAGGAGAAGGCAGAAAATCTTCCCATGTGTTGTCTTTCGTTGCAGCATGCTCATGTCGCGATGCTCCATGTATACCAGACATTATTTGGAACTCCAACTCCAGTCTTACAATTGATCCTCATGCGCTGGTTGTTGGGCATGAAGTTAACTTTGTAAGAGTATGTAATAACTCAAGTTTCACTATCGTTTCAAGTCTCTGAAATTTTGTATGTGTTAAAACATAGGTGCTGCAGCAGGGTTTATGCTATTTCTGTTGGATCAGATATTGCTTAGGCTTTCCTTGCTTTCCTTTCCTCTGGACTTGCGAGCTGTTGGTAGACGAGACTCGTGAATAATTAAGTTGTCTCAACTAGTTTGGTTTTTTGGGTTACGGCCTTCTGGATTCAACAAATCAAAACAGAATCGATGGACATAAACAAGGAAAGGAATGCACAAGGGGAAAAGAGGACCTCCGTTATAAAGAAGGCGTAATTGTATCACAAATTAATCAAACGAGAATCGAATCGTGTTCAGTCTTACCAAAGAAGGGTGTTTGATACGTCACAAAGTAATCAAACAAAATGTTTTGGCGTCTTCCCTCGTATTCCTTAGAATCCGTACAACGAGACGAGCAGAGCAGCAGTTGACAAAGCCCTGTAGGTCCCACCGCTGAGTGGACCGTCCTCCTATTACTTTATCGCTTGCTTATCTGTCAGGAATCAGATCAACCGAAAGGACACGCTCTGTCCTCGGAAGGCTTTACCTCGCCTGCTCACTGTTTGACTAGTGCATTCTGCTCTAGGGAAGGCTTTTTGTGCACTCACAATACAATTGTATGTACCTCCCTAACAACTCAAATCAAATCTTCCATACATACAACACGCACACCCCTCCCTCTCTCTCAATCCCACTCCAAGCCCCCAAACCACACATTAATGTCTTCACCTCTACCTGGTCAGCCACATCCCCTCTTTGCTGGTACGGTATTACTTACTCCTGTGCCATAATATTCCTTTCATCATCAGATATCTGACATGTTGTATTCTGCGTATATCTAGAGTTTAGCTATATCTTTGTACAAAAAGGCTATCTTATCACTGGTTTAGATTTCACAGTTTGACAACCTAACGTAACGCAGTTTCCATCCACTAATCAAAATCTGATTTGGGTTTGTAAATTTTGCTTGGCAGATGGGGTTGAAGCAGCTAGAGAGCACCTACTGACAGTGGACAATGGAGAAGCCCATGGGGACGTGAAATTCCGGATACGAAATCTGGCCAAGAAATCAGACACCACAGGAGCTTCCATACTCAATGGGTTGACCTTGAACATACCTAAGGGCGTCATCATGGGGGTCATTGGCCCTAGCGGCAGCGGCAAGTCCACGCTGCTCCGAGCTCTCAACCGCCTCTGGGAGCCCCCGTCCGGGACTGTCTTCTTGGACGGCCATGATGTTCTGGACACGGACGTCCTCAGCCTCCGCCGCAAGGTCGGCATGCTCTTCCAGCTTCCTGTTCTTTTTGAAGGTAACCCATTTGATCATTGCCCCAACTAGCACTCTCTCTCTCTCTCCCTCTCTCCCTCTCTCTCTATCACATATCAGATCAGAACATATCAGTTGGCAAATTGTTTTGCCAAATTAAGGAATTGATAACTTGTAACTTGTGCTAAACAGGTTGCTTAATTTATACGGTATTGACTTGGTTGCAGTTGGGTTGCTAATTGATTGTGTTTTAGATTGGAAAGAAGATTCTCAGCCCTCCTAATCTCTCTTCCCTTCCCTTCCCTCCCATTTGAACGGTTGCGGTTATAGCGTTTTTTTATAGAGACATAAAACAAAAAGCAATATGTGAGAGGAGGAGAGGGAAGGGGATGAGAATAGGAAGGGAGAGAATCCTGCTCCTTTAGATTGGTCATTGTAATAGAGATTTATAGTGTGATTATAATATGATTAGAGAGTGATTATAATATGAAAACCGTGGTGGGTTGGATTAGTTATATTGTAAAGTATTTATGCATCTTTGTCACTGTTGATGTAAGCATTCTAATTATAGATTTTTTATATTCTATACTCTGGAGTTTGCTAGAAAGTTTCAAAACAAAAAGAGAACAAATTCTATAGTTATGTGAATATTCCAAAGTTTTTAGCCGTTAGATTTTCATTTAAATATACAACAATGAAGATCTAATAGTTAAAAATGCTCTGAGACGCCCTAAAATATTATTTTCCCTTAAGTTTATTGAGTCCATTGCTGACTTTCCTTTGGGGTGGGGTGGTTCAAATCCAAAGCTTACTCTCTCACATTTAAAATTTAATACCCAATCAATTACTTGTAGGTATTTGCCTACCATGACCTGATTCTATAATAGCAGTGGTTAAACCTACTTGTCCTATTACTTGGATGGTGTTTTCCCTTTTGACCTTGGACATACCTAGTTGGTTACTCTCTCTGTCTAAACTACGAAAAAGGGATTAACATGCCTGCACATGTTCAGAACAAGACCACTTTAGAAAATATCAAATTTGGATGATTGTAATGTCAATTTCCCCCCTCTTTTGCCTACTTTCTCTCAACAATCAAGATTAAAAGAATTTGATCTTGTGCATTTCAAATGCAGTTTGATATTTGTATTTGAATTTCTGGTATCAGGTCTACTTGGAAAGAATTTGGAGTGCAGTGGTATATGAATATCCGGAAATTCTCCCCCACACTTTTTTTTTTTTTTTTTTTTTTCGCAAGTAAACGGTTGAGATACCATTCTTTTTTTTACTTAGATGCGCAGGAGAGCAAAGCTCTACCAATATATACTTGAGTATCTGTTTTCAATTGCAAATTAAGAATTGAGATCAATTCATTCATCAGGCACAGTTGCAGACAATATACGTTATGGTCCTCAACTGAAGGGGAGGAAGCTGAGTGACGAGGAGGTTCACAAGTTGCTGAACCTTGTAGACCTTGATTCATCCTTTGCCACCAAGACTGGTTCTGAAATGTCTGTGGGTCAATCCCAAAGAGTGGCACTTGCTAGGACCCTAGCCAATTCTCCTGAGGTAAAAACCCGATACATGATACCATCAACTCCTTTTTATGTGAATACTTGACTCTCGACATTCAAGAAGTCATTCCTTCTTACAGACAAATCATTGTTTGATACTTTATCCAGACATTCCTCCGTTCATGATCTTAATGTGTTCATATGACATTTAAGAGGTCATTCTTTCGTGCAGACAAATTCTAGTTTGACATAGCATTTTTCTTATTGTGATTGTAATAAGTTACTTTTGCATATGTCTGAATATGATTTGATGGTAAAAAAGGATGACTCGTTACATGTACGGAGCCAAACAGTGTTCCTTTTCGTTACGTATGGCATTGTTAGTAATGTGTTGTATTATACTTTTGGGAAGGTTTTGCTGCTGGATGAGCCGACAAGTGCGTTGGATCCAATATCAACAGAGCACATAGAAGGTGCTTTAGTGAAGCTGAAGCAGAAACAGGGGATGACCATTGTAATGGTCTCTCACAGCATCAAACAAATCCAGAGGATTGCTGACATTGTTTGCCTCCTTGTGGATGGGGAGATTGTTGAAGTTCTCAAACCAGACCAACTCTCTCAAGCCAACCATCCCATGGCACTACGGTTCCTTCAGCTCAGCTCTTAAGTTGTCTCTCCTCTCTCTCTCTCTCTCTCCTCTCTCTCTCTCTCTCTCTCTCTCCTCTCTCTCTCTCTCTCTCTCGATTGATTGGGGAATTTATATTGTTGTGTGCACAATGTTTACATAGCATTTGCTTGATGGTGCCTTCTGGAAAGGAAGAAACTTTTGCTTGTAACTACTCTAATGTTTGTAGTGGTTACAGTGATTCATATACATTTGAGAGGGGCCTAAGAACTATATTTACAGAATTTGTATACCAACTCACATTTCTTTCTCTACTCCCCCATCCATATATACACCACCATTACATATACACCACACATATACTTACACACACACACACACACTAATGTTTGGCTTTCTCTACTGAGCAAGTTTCCAATCTGACCAAAACTGGGGTCTTTGCATGTCTTCGCTTATGATTTGGCTTTGTTGTTGTCGTGGTTGATGACACGATCACCTCTTCGTGTTGAGCTTTGCTGAGCATGTTCCACATAATCTGTACATCTTCATATCCACACATTTGTACATCATCCTGAAGCTTTAGCAGACCACCTATTCCACCACCACACTCGCCGCCAACACTCCCTGCAACACCACCACCTGCTCATAAAGACAATGCAACATATATTCCTAATTCATAATTCACCTTACATTTTCTCTAGTAAAACGTCAAGAAAACTGTTATTAGCACTCTAAAAAGGTCGCAGCTGTAATGCACTCCTTGTTGAAATTTCTATTCAACAAACAGTGCACGATGACTTTTCTGGAGTGCTAATAAAAGCTACGTAGAAATCTAAATTCCTTTTCCATGGCTACAATAATCTGAGCCCACAAAACCCAATGCCATGAAAGGGTAACAAGAGTATATATGGCATTTGAATTTGATGGAGTACCAAAATGGCATGTTAACATAAAAGTGGGAAAGAAAGCAAAGTGGAAAAGTAGATGAAGTAGGTAGAGGGAAGAGGAAGAACAAACCAAGAGATTTACGAAGTTTGAGGGTGGCAGAGAGAGCAAGCAATGCCTTCCTTAACTTGTGCAGCCAATCCATCTTCAAGGTCCCAGGCTGGGACTCCACACTCCCAGCTCAGCCCAGCCCCTACCTTCCACCAGACTCCACACTTACTCGGTCTCACCTCTCAACAACAACAGATCATCCTATTCTATCCTATCCTATCCTATCCTAGAGAGAGAGAGAGAGAGAGAGAGAGAGAGAGAGAGAAGATAAGTGGGTAATTGCCAAGTGGATTTCTGAATTTATACACAAACTGTAAAGAAGAAGAAATGGATTTGGAGAGAGAAAGAGGTGATGAGCGAGCTTGCGGCAAGAAAGGCACCGAATCCCCAAAACACGTTTCTTGATGATCTTGCCAGGCGTCCATCTTCCAAGCAGCTCCATCAGCCACGACCCCCTCTTTAATTCCATCCCTTCATTGTCTTCACTCTCGTTCTTCTCTCTCTCTCTCTCTCTACATTTCCCGTTCCAAGACAACTCTCAATACTCATCATAGTCGGTTACTCTCTCGACTGACTGACTGAGTGACTGGAATGCCTTGAAGTTGTTGGATTTGACTCCCTCATTTTTGTTCATTTTTTGTTGAGAAATGTTAAGACACCTCTCTCAAAGTGAGATTTTAGAGATCTTTAAAATCTTTACAGACTTATTGTCTTCTTATAATTTAACATCAATTTTTATGTTAATATTATAAAATATTGTGTCAAAAATACAAAGTAACAGAGAATTTACGAAAAATTCCTCTTTTGAAAGAGTCTTCTTAACATTTCTCTTCTTTGTTTATTACTGCTGACTGTAGATTAACACCATCATCATCATATTATATACCTTTTTTATTCGGTTACATCCGTCCCTTCTGTTTACCATTCACTCTTTCTTTCTTTCTGACGGTCCACCTCACTCTTCTAGTCAAAAGTTTTTCCCAACATAAACTCTTTAAAAAAATTCATATGAGTCACTTGACTTTTACTTATAAATAAGATATCATAAATTGAAATCTCATAAAACGGACGAATTCAATATAAAATTATTACATATGTAAAAACATCATTATGTTAAAAGAAAATTCTAATTTAACACACAACTACATAATTCATTACAAAATTGTGGAGAGATGTATTATGGTTGTGTAAAATTATTAATTAAAAATGTGATTGTGTAAACTTAAAGTAGAATCCCTACAGGTTTTGGAGATCAAATCCTTATAGGTTTATATTACTTGCAAGACAAGAAAACCTATCATGATTTGTACAAATAAATGTGCAAGGCCAAGGTGTAAGGACATAATTCTCATACACCTAAGTCGTTCTCTCTCTGCCGTCGCTTGCCAAGGCAGACCTTGTGAAAGCTTTTCACCATCTTCATCAACATCCAATTAACCCTAAACTGCTAATTTATTTGATTTTAATTTAATTTATGCCTTTCTCATTGAAGTGGAGTGTTCTATGGTTGGTTACTCACAAGTGTCATTTAGAGTTTGGTATTCAAACAATCGTACGACGTTCACCATAAAGATGCTCATTTCCTTTGAGTATCTTTGTCCATGATATAGATTTGGTGCACCTATATTTTCACAACTATAGTTGAAGCAGGCGAATTTGGTGTAGAAGGTTGAACTTCGTAGGAGGAGGCATAACCTTGTGTTCAAGTTTTAGAACCCAAGGTCGAGAATGTTTCTTCCTCGGATGAAGTCGCTCGATGTAGAAGTTAGCAACGTGGTTCACCGTCACACCATCGCATCCATCATATTCGCCCGACGGAGCTCGGTAGCGAATTAGGAAAACATAAAACTCTAGACTCAATTCAAACAATACAATATCAACATTAAAAAGCACCACACCAACAAAATTCACAAAAAAATACCCACTAATCAAACCGATAAAAAAACCATATGGGGACCACTAAAAGTGCAAACAAACTCCAAAAAATAAAGGAGATTCGATCTATTCACCACATTATTATGGCTTCCCATTTTTTCAATGTATTTCTGGCATCGCAAGCCACCACAGTGCCCTTGTAAACAAAGTCAAAACATTCCTGACAATCTTCTAATTTAATCGAATCCAATTCATGCTATTGAATCTCACGGAAAAGAAATCCCCAATTTTTTTTTCAACTAGGTCGTACACTGCCTCAGAAAGCAAAGCAGAATTAGAAGACGAGATAGAGAGGTGAAGTAATTAGGTCATACAATAAGTGATGAAGGTGATTTTACGAGATTGCCCATGAAAAAGCGGTCAAGTGAGGGCATGTGACCGTTTTTAACATTGATTTAGATGAACGGCAACAAAATGACGACATTGATTCGCAGGGTTAATATTTAAGAACTAATCATCAATTTTCATATCATTTGTAATAAAGGGTAGAGGCAATACTAAGAGATTAAATTTGTAGACAAAATTTGCAAACTAAATTAAGTATCACTAATATAAATGAGCACGTTTATCAACGCTTAAATAATAATCTAATCATCAACTTTCATATCATTTAGTTTACAAAGTTTGTCCCTGACATTTAGAAATGTAAAGAATGAGAGAGGATCCTCACTGGATCCTTTTTTTGAGGATCACAGGGATCCTCCAATCACATTCCTTCTTCGTACATCGTGCGGTCAATTTTCGTCAGGCACTGTTTATATTCAATTTTAAATAAAAAATTTACAATAATTATTGACCGTACGATGTACAATGAACGAATTTGATTTAAGGATCTTCGAGATCCTCACAAAGAAAATGCGGCGAGGATACTCATTCCTAAAGAATTATTTGGGACAGAAACCCTACGTGCCATGTCACCATCCTACCATTGTTGCGTTGTGATAGGGTTAAATGTGTACGTGGGAAAGATTCGTTTACAAAACCCATTGACTAATGGGCCTACAAACTGGACGAAAGCAGTTGAGTAGGTATACGCGGTCGCCGGCCCATTCCCAACTCTTCCTGCTTTTGTATCCCAAAATTCCCACCTCTAGGGTTCGTTAAGTTTCAGTCCCTTCACCCGTCACCCGTCGCCCTTCGCCCTTCGCCCTTCCCTGCTATTTTTGCGTACATCTCACAATCTGAAACCACCGCACAAACCTCAAAAATGGAGGCAGACACGGCGGTGGAAGCAGGCCTCTCCCTGATAAAGCAACTGGCTTCGTGCGATAAAAGCAGCCGAGACAGAGCCCTCAGGGTCCTGCTCAAAACATGGCTGCCGGCGCAACTCAACGTCCAAGACGACGACATGAGGAAGCTCTGGAAAGGCCTTTTCTACTGCCTGTGGCACGCCGACAAGGTCCCGGTCCAAACCCAGCTCATCGATCGGCTCTCCGCTCTGGTCCTCAGCCTCCACCTCCCGCTCTCTCTCCACTACTTCTCGGTGTTCTTGCTCACCATGCGCCGCGAGTGGTCCGGCATCGACGCCCTGAGGTTAGACAAGTTCTACTTATCGATTCGCAGATTTATGACTAGTTTCTTTACTTTGATGAGAAATAATTTGTGGGATTTGGAGCTTGTGAAACGTCTGATGGGTGTGTTGGAGGAGAGGACTTTTTTTGCGGATGATAAGTGTTTGGGGAATGGGGTTAATTACCACATTGCCTCTGTTTTTCTAGAAGAGCTTAGGCCGTTTCTTCCGCTTAAGGCTGATGTTCTTGAGGTTCTGTTAGTGGGTTTTATTCAGGTTTCGGGTCAAGTGTCCGATAAGGTGTTGTTGGGGAAGATTAAGAGTAATATGTTCGATGTGCTGCTCAGGGCGGGGAAGAGGCTGTTGGAGGTTAAGAAGTCGGGGGATGATGTAGAATTGGGTGATGAGGTTGTTGTCTTCGGGACAATTGCGCTGAAAATGGGGTTTGCAAGCAAGTTTTATGAATCAGGGTCTTCACCTGAGTGCTGCCAGGGTAATAGGAAAGTGTTGTTTGGCTTGCACGAGGGGTTTATGAAGTTGGAGAAAGAGTTGGAATCTTCTGGGATTGAGATTTCTTTTCCTGATGTTGTTTATCAGGACGATGAGGAAGTGCCGAATTTGGTTCCCCTTGATAGTGAGGAGATGGACGTAAGTAAATCGGAGCCTGCTGATGTTGTCATGGCCAATGGGTCTGCCGAAAAGCGTTTGAAGAAGTGCAAGAAGAATGAGAAGGGCACTGGTGGTGCTAATACAAAGGCAGAGAAGAAAAAGAAGAAGAAAAAGAAGAATAAGAAGGAGAATGGGAGTTTTGATTCAGACTCTGAAAAGAGCTCTACAGACAGGGAGAATGAGAGTGGAGCTACAAATGGTGAGAATTCAGATGATCATCAGGTAACTGATGCAGATGCTTTTAAACTTGAGGATAATGTGATATCGAACCTGCAGATGCAGTTTGAGAAGATTGCTGCTGAAGCCGGCTTGGATGACGACGTTCCAAGCGCCTGTGATTTGCCTACAGTTTCAGATAAGGGTCCTATCTCTAAGAAGAGAAAGAGAATGAAGAAATCTGTTGAAGAAGAAGCCGAGGGTGGCACCAATGCAAAGAGTGGAGAGAAGAGTGCAAAGAAGGTAAAGTTTTCCATGAAAAACAATTTGGTGTGGAAGCCCCAGAGCCCTTTACCTCCGCAAGATTTAAGACTGCCTCCTTCTGCTACGCCTAGAGGAAGTGCACTCAAGAAAGGAGTACCTCCAGGTCCGATTAGGGAAATGCCTTCGCCTACTAAGAAGGTGAAAATGGTAAGAGTTGTTGCTGTCAAGAAGGCACGGAAGGCTGTCAAACGTATAAAGAAGTTGAAATCTCGTCCTACTTAGAAGATATCTTTTTGCTGGAATTTCTTTTTCTGTGTTTGTTTTTCCATACACAAACATTTGCCCCATATGTGGTCTTTCTTGTTGCCTATGCTCTATTGGGTTTATTCATAAAGTTAATTCTGACAATGATATTTGCTTATTCGTAAAATTGATTGAAATGATGCATTGGCACAGATGCCCTTTGTTTGGTACTTTGTTACTAACTGTTGGAGAACACACTTCCTCTAATGCTCTATAGTTCTATACTCTAGGAATCATCTATGGATGTTATGCTCGTCAAATGTATTTTTAATTAATTTCTTACTTTTCAAAACTGGATGTTTGTGATATTTTGCCCTGTTGTTATTTGATTTTAGTTTGCAGATTTATATTTGGTTGCTAGCAAAGGCCTTGGTTTACTTGGATAGCAGCCAGGCCACGGTTAGTTTGCAGCATGTTGTGCTTTTATTTTACTTAATTTTTTTGGTTCTTTCGGCGTTAGATGTGATACAAATTCCAGCTTATTCACCAAG